GCTGCTCCTTCACACATCTCCTCTGGGAAGGGCTGGAAGGGCAGCCAGGGACAGACATGAGGGAAAAGGAGTGTTCAGCCAGGAGAACACTTGCTGCCTCAAAGGGCAGCTCAGTTTTAGAATGTTCCCCACAAGCTCCTGCCTTGTGTGGAGGTCAGGAGGGTTGAGTCAAGCCACCCATGAGTATCTCCTGCTTTCACAACCTTCTGTTCTAGCAGCCAGACCTTCACCCAGACCATTGTTGGTCTCTTTAGGACCCACAAAGAAAGGAATGAAATAAAAAACTTATCTTGGAATATTTATCTGCCTTTAGAAAGTCTTTTTGTGTCTCCTCAATGTCAAATGCTGCCCAAAGAAGTCCCACCAAGAAGGCCCATCCGGGCAGCACCTCCTACATCCCTAGGGAATCGACTGCTCTCATTTGCATAACAATTCAATCCGGGCCACGTGACCTGTGCTCCCATCAATTAAAACCTTCCACCAAATAGTTTCCATCTCTCCAACCGTTGTGTAACTGCAACATCCTCACGCTTCAGTCACTCAGAAGGAAGGTCAAAGTCCAACCTAAAAAGCTCGAGGGGAACCACTTGAGCTTACAGGCCACAAACCCACCAGGTTTTTATAAAAACATGATTTAAGCTTTCCAGGGATTAAATACCTAATAATTAGGTGAATGTAGGAAGATGAAGTTCTTCAAACTCTGATATTTAAACACAGGGAATAAAGAGTGAAGTCCTGGTGGGGTTCAGCCAGGCCAAGGTCCTGGCCCTGGGTCAGGACACAAATCCAGGCTGGGGGAGGTTGGATGGAGAACAGCCCTAAAGAGCCAAGGTCCTGGCCCTGGGTCAGGACACAAATCCAGGCTGGGGGAGGGTGGATGGAGAACAGCCCTAAAGAGAAGGGCCTGGGGGGATGGTGGGTAAGAAGCTCAAGAGGAACCAAGCCAGGAACCCCTGTGTCCTGGGCAGCATGAAAAGAAGCATGGGCAGCAGGGCCAGGGAGGGGACTGTCCCCTCTGCTCTGCTCTGCTCTGGTGGGACCCTCCTGGGGAACTGGGGCCAGGTCTGGAGCCCCCAGCACCAGAAAGACACGGAGCTGGTGGAGTGAGGAGGCCACGGAGATGATCCGAGGGCTGGAGCAGCTCTGAGAGAGTTGGGGTGTTCAGCCTGGAGAGGAGAAGGATCTGAGGAGACCTTGGAGCACCTTTGAGTGCCTGAAGGGGCTCCAGGAAAGCTGGGGAGGGGCTTGGGACAAGGGCAGGGAGGGATGGGATGAGTGGAATGGATTAAAAGTAGAAGAGGGAGATTGAGGTGGGACATGAGGAGGAAATTCCTCACTATGAGGGTGGTGAGACCTTGGAACACGGTGTGAAGTTCTGGAAGCCCCATCCCTGGCAGTGTTGAAGGGCAGTTTGGATGGGGCTTGGAGCAACCTGGGCTGGTGGGAGGTGTCCCTGCCCATGGGAGGGGGTGGATCTAGAGGGTCTTCAAGGTCCCTTGCAACCCAAGCCACTCCCAGCCCGTTCACTTCAGACACTGCCTCCAGCACGTAAACTCCCTACAACTGGTACACACCAGTAACCTGCTGCTAAACCCGTCAGTACATCTCCTTTGCTGTCACCACTTCCTTCCTCTTGCTGAGTGACTTCTCCCCTCTCTGAGGCTCTTTGGAGGCTCCACAAGAGCTTCCACAGCCTCAGCACAAGATCCTGGCTGCAAATGTATCAAAAAGGCATGAAAATGGTGTTTCCAAGGGCAGGAGCTGACAAGTTTGACAATTCCCAGGGGGTAACACCCACGGCGGGTACCGCACGGAGTTAAAGTGATACGGGACAGGGCTGGACCTTGACCTTGGCTGTTCCCAGTCCCAGCACTGGAGGGAGAAGATACAAAGCAGGACGTGTGACCAAAGGAAGATGTCACAGAGGCAGGAAGGGAAGCAGCAGAGGCTGGAGGCTCTGCTGGCAGCAGGGGTGAGGCCAAGGCACCCCCGGC